GTTTAGTAGCCCCTTGTTTCCACGGGTCCTACCGTTTGTTAGCCCCCTGATTATGGTGTGTGTTATTTTGGTGCTTGCTTCCTGTTTCATACAATTTCTTCACTGACAAATTACTACCATTGTAAAAATTACTACCAATCAGGTCATGGTCAATTATCAGACTTTGGATTCTCCTGAGATAGATGAGTTGGCTCTTAAAGCTTGTGATGACACTTCTCCATTTATAAAACAAAACAGGGGGAGATGTTGGGGAACCCTGCTGTTAAGGTCGGCTCTTCTCAGCAGGGGTTTCCTTCCTGACTTACCTGGAAAGTGCCTCTAAGCAGAGATGCCTGACCTTATTCGGAACATGACCTTTGGAATAGTTACCTGCAATAAAACTACCCCCAGGTTTTTTCTATATGATAATTAGGCATTTCCCCATAGCCAGATGATAGGATCCCCCTACCACATGTAAATAAAGCATACTATGAACACCTATCAGCTGAAGCTTTGGCTGCTGCCTCCACACTATATTTTCCCTAACCCCCACTGAATAAACGGAGCTGTATCACTGAATCTGCCTCCCCGGAAGGGCTTTCTTCCGTCAGTGCTCACTGGCCGTCCTGACCCCATTAGTTGCTTCTGCTCCCTTTGTCCTCGTGGATTGGTGGCCAATGACCCACGAGGGGAGGGAGAGACCCCACAATCCAGGTAGCCTCTGTGAGTTCTACAGAGAACACTGGCTTGAACTCCTCTCTCTTGTGCAACACTAGGTTACATGCAGGACAGTGTTTTGCTTGGTTGGAGGGAGTGGTCAGCATGACTCCTGCCAGGGCTCTTCTCCCCTGAACCCCCCCAAGGTTAAAACATATCCACAGTGAAAACCATGGAGTAAAAGTGAAATACAACTAAGCAAAGATAAATATGAAACTATTAAAACAAGTTTTAGGTTTAGGAGGAAAATATTATTGAGATATAATTTTAAGCATCAGAGGCATGATCTTGAAAGAAGAGTTTAGTAGCTTGAGGCCGTGAGATTTCTTAATGTGTAGATTTTAACTTGGCAGCAGGAGAGGGAAAAGGGGGAGAATAATTACCTCAAAGTCACAAACAGAAAACAGCATTTCAAAAGCTTTCTAAGAAACCCTCTGAGAACTAGAACTGCCGTTACTGGGAGTCCATCTTAACTCAGGATTTACCCAGCGAGAGCATACTTCGGAAGCTCTAAGAGAATGGAAGCTCTAAGAGAGATGGAAGAGCTAAGCATATTTTGGCTATAAAAACACTAAAAAGAGGACAAAGTTACAGGGGCATTTTATAGAGCAGAAGAGATGGGAACACTCCCTACCAGGAAGGGGATTCTGCACTGGATGGTGATACACTGCTGCCACAGCGCTCGGCTACCACCATTCCAGTCATGGGGGGCTGTGCAGGACTATGTGCTCTACTTAGTATATAACTACAACAATTGCTTATAATTATTTAGCTTATCATTATTATAGTCCCCAGAAATTAAAAAGAAAAGAAAAAATGGCTATAAGAAAAATCTCACTTTTCATTAGAAATCACAGAAAAACATATTACAATGAATACCTTTGTCTTCCAGATTATGGCATTAAAAAAATAATAATAATATGTAAGGTTGGCAAAATGTGAGAAAATAAGCACTCTCAAATATTACTGATAGTCATAGTGTATGTTTTTTGAGTTAGCAATAACATTTGCAGAAGTCTATCTTAACCAAATAATCCGAGCTCTGCATACAGATAGCTATACATACATGAATATACACAGCTCAAGTGGACATATGGTCCTAAATGCTCACAATGGTTATTTCTACATGACAATCCAGTAATAATTCTTATTAGTATTTTCCTTAGTTTTGCAATAAGCATACATTATCAGCAAAACAAAAAAAAATATTACTTATAAAAAGTGATCTGGTAGGATCATTTAGTGATTTACATATGACCTTCATAGGGAAATACAAAGACTTTCTGAAGGTTCACAGTGTAAAATCCTATGAAAGAGGTCTATCCTAATCATAGCATACATTTACAAAATAAAATTTTTTGTTCCTTTGGTACGTTGTAGTGCTTAAAAAATACATATATATGAAAATATTTCATGATTTAAGATGCAAAATTATTCAAGAGTTATATAGTTCATGTTGGTTTCCAGTTATTAAAAATTAAACTTATGATCCAATATAGCAGTTTTATGTCTAAATTGAGAGCACAGCATTTCTCTCCTAAAATAAACCACAGTCTCAGTTTGACCTGTCTGGGAAACACTAAAACATCCCACTGAGTTTGGAGTTATCATTTCTCCATCTCTAACATTTTAATCTAACCTTTCTCTTAAGTCGTCCAAGCAGCGCTGCAGGTGAACTTCCCCCGCTGTCACTAAAACGTGCTCTCCTGTTTCCTGAATTAAAATCTGGACACAGGGATCAGCTTGATTTAACAGCTTCATTCCTTTCATAAGCTGAGGCATTTCACCTAGGTTGACAAAATGAACCACAAATTAATGATGACATAAGAACTACTACAATCCAGAGACAATGGCAATGGCTGCTCATGGGGATTACAATGAAATAAACAGTGGTATGAAGGAAATTACATTCCCGTAGCTGACTTCTGTAGACAGGCAGGTAGCATGAGACAGGCACAGGCTTATCATAAGATGCCAAAGCTGACTTATACTTCAAATTCTTAGCAGATAGAAACTACGATCACCATGCCTGTAAATTCATCTTTGTATTATTAGTAATGTATATATTATAGTCCTAGAAACATAACAGAATATTTCCCCACATCGTACAAATAAAATGGACATCGAAGCACAAGAAGCATTTAAGCTGATGGTCAAGACATGACTAGAACTTCGTATTAAAAATAACAATTTGTAAGCCTTGGTGACCCAGGCAGGCCTGTAATCCCAGCCACTTGGGTGACTGAGGCAGGGGCATCTCTAGTTAAGGGCTTGATTGGGCTACAGAGCAAATTCAAGGCCAATCTATGAAATTTAGTGACATTCTGTCACAAAATAAAAGAAACAACAGAGTTGGGAGGTACGGCTCAGTGGTAGAGTGCTTGCTTAGTGTGCATAAGGCCCTGGGGTTGAGCCCAAGTACTGATAAAAACCAAAAGGACACAAAACACACATATTTGTGAGAGTGTTTGAGAGGACTATGTGTTTGGAATCTGCACGAAGCAGCTGCTGCACGCTGCATTCCATTCCGCCTGTGCGTTTGGTACATACCCTACACTCTCGAACGCTGAGGGTACAGGCGGGGATTGGGATCTACATTTTGGATTTAGCTGCTTTTTACTGTCCCACATACTCAACAGCTACTTTTCACTCAAGGTAGGCCAGAAGAAGTCTCTTGCTGTGATGTAAAGGCTTTGAGGGCATTTTTTAAAAGTTTTTTTTTTTGTTCAGTATTGCTTTGATTCTACATTTTGCTTCACAATTCTTCAGTGTTTAATTGTCAACATGCAAAACCACACCAAAACCACAGAAGCTTTCTGCAAGGCAGAAAGGCCTTACAAAAATTTATTAATTAAAGGGCAGGGAGAGACTATTAGAACTTCTATGCCAATTTATTTTTGAAATAAAGTTCTAAAAATAACTAACACTACATTTACAGTGTTGAAACGCCAGACAAGCATTTTGTCTATATGAACTCGACAGTGACCGTGAGGCAGGCAGATTACTGTTCTCACTGTGTAGATGAGGAAACAGCTGGAGAGATGCTGACAGACTTATGCTCAAAGTCAAGAGCAACTATGTGGCAGAACCTGGTTCTAAAGTCGGCTAGCCAGTTTTGGAGTCCAGGCTGTCCATGGACATCAAATCCCTACAGACCCTGGGGCCGTATGCCATATTGGGCTACACAAGATCTCGGGTCAAGATGGGGTGGAATTTCACTGAAAGACTGCAAGCAGGGTTGATGAAGGCATCTTTTTTAGAGATCATTGCTTTACTTTGCCTATATAAGTGGATTAATAGGTATTATCTAGTGTTAAATAACTCAACCTTCATGGAACGTGAAGCTTGGCTTAAAGGAATCCTAGAACAAGACTAATAAAACTAATTAACACAGAAAAAGAGAATAAGGTAAAGATCTTTTATCAGCTCTGTATCATCATAATGACAAAGTCAAAATCCAGATATGTATACCTATTCATGCATACTTAAAACTCTCTTCAAGGTAAAGGTGACAGTTAAACAGTAAGAAGATACTTTTAGAATGAAATTTTAGAAGACATGGAGACATTTTGAAATCAAGGGATTTGAAAATGTTTCCAATAACAGCCATTCTGTGGCCCCAAACCACAAACTCTTCAGGTATAAACTTCTTCAAAGACCATACTGCTGAAGACATTACATATTTGAGTCACAGAACATGGAGAAACTGACCCAGAAGCTTCATCCCTCCTGACTAGCTTTCATAGTGCTAGAAGGTGCTATGCACGTTACCAAAGGGGAAAACTAATCGTCAGCCTGACTCAACTGTGAACCCTGTGAGCTATAACACCTGACCTGGCAGGACATGCCCACTGGTGCAATAGTGGCACAAATGTTATGGGTGAAACCAAACACTTTCTAATTGGACTTAAGGTCTGCTCTATGAGCTGGAACCCATACCTGGTACCATTATTGAGGCCAAGAACCTGTGGCTAGATAGGTCATAGGGCCTAGGAGAGAACCTATTACTACTATGATGCTAAATCAACATATTAAACTGACTACTAATGATTTCTTTTTACATCCATGGATTAGTGAAATCTCTCAGGTCTCATCTGAGAAGCTTATTGCAGTAGGTAGCAACTAACAGAGATCCACAACTGGTCAATGCGTGGAGAATAAGAGACTTCGGAGTATTCAAACCTAAATGGGACAGCTATAATATACCCTTCCCCACAAGATTCAGGGATCATCATGGAAGTAGAGGTGAAAAGACTGTAAGAGTCAGAGGCAGTGGATGACTACAGCAAAACAGTGTTTTCTGGACACAACAGGGCAATTGCAAATATGAACTGACAGCAGTTGTGACAGCATGCACAAACTTGTGAGAGCTGAAGTCAGACAAATTCCAGCATGAGGAGGGGTGAGATGGGTATGAGGTCCCACCCTAGCTGAGGAACTACTGGCAACTGACAGACACTAGGAGAGTAAGAGTCAGCTTTCTTTAAGGGTGTGACCCTTGGTAGGATGACCATGCCCCAAGGGATAGCCACATACCCAAGAGTATTTGGGCAGTACAAACTGAATTTGATGGGCTTTAAAAACAACAACAAAAACAAAAACAAAAAATGACCCAAGTTGAGTGGATAGAGGGGTAGGGAAGGATCTGGGGAAGAGGGGTGAATATGATCAAAATATACTGTACAAAGTTCTCAAAAAATTTGAAAGGTGATTTTCTTCCCTTATCTTAAAAATCTTACAACTGGAGAGTTCATTCATGACACAGAAATGAACACTTCTAAATAGCAAAAGAAAAGGTGACACCAGGAAAAGTAGATACTTATGATCTGCACTTCATCAAGACCTTGTGTGATTGATACATGGAGTTCTACATTGAACACCATGATTCAATATAGGTCACCAACAAAGCATTTCTCCACTAGGACTTCTAACAGTGATAATGATCATTAAAAAGAAGTGTTGCAATAATGATGCTCAGAAGGACACCTTGGAACTGCTACAGAATAATGTGCTAAGTGAGAGTTTAAAAATAATAAAGCACTGTTGTAGCAGCCAGCCCTCCAGGAAGCCTCATTCATCCTGGGCTCCTAGTATTCAACTCCAGTGTAGTCTCTCCAACAGTGACAGGGTTGGCTTGTGTGACAACAGAGTACTGTGGAAGTAGTGATATGTGGTGGTCAAGGCTAGCTCTGGACTAGCACTGGAACCAGTCACCATGCTCTGCTTCAGGACACTCAAGGCCCAAGTAAAGGGGCCCTGTGGAGAGGAACTGAGGTTCAGGCCAGCACCAACTCCTGAGAGCATATGAGTTAATCACCTTAGAAGTATAGCTATGCTGCAGCCCAGGGGAGGCACAAATACCACAATTAAAAAAAAAATATTTTGGAAGCATGGAGGAAATGATTCCTCCGTGTTGACCCTCCTCTTTATACACTGGACACTGGTTCAAGTCCATCTGGTGGGGTCTCCTTGACCTCCTTGATCAAGAGGACAGGTGACCCACCACCATTATAGGACATTTTGAGAGATGCTCATAGTCCCCTGGAAATAGTTGACCTAGGAGGGCAAGGAGCAAAAACTGTCCTTTATGTCCCTCTGAC